CCCGCAGTCATATGACTGGATGTTTAAATGAAAGTCGTTCTATGGTCATCATCATCCTCATCATGTGGTTCGGACCTCTTACTTATGCTGCCAAGACTTGTTATGACTATAGCTTCTGTTGCGCGCCCTCAGAAATCTGTTGGAGAGATTTAGCTTGTCTGAAACAAATCTGTCTTCTTTGAGTTGGAAGGAAAGTTCGGTCATGTCAGGGTAAAATCCGGGGGCTTTCAGCCTGTCTTTTGTTGGAGYCTGCCTGAATCTCCTCGTCCTTACTAACTGCTGTTTCCAAACGCCTGGTTGTGTAAAGTTCACRCACGTTTTAGGAGGGAAAAACCTACGTCTCTGCTTGCTTCCTGAGCCCCTTTTTGTCCAAGCCGACCCGTTCGCCATGCGTGCCACAGAGCTACGGGCCCGCAGCAGCAGCGACAGGACGGCGCTGGTTGGTATTTCAGATTGCAGTAAGCGAGTATCTGCGTGTTYTTCATCTCTAATCCCTGTTTATGGCTGCAGCGACTCCTGCTGCCCTTCCCCCCACTCCGAGTTGTGGCTCACAAATGATTCATTTCAACCTCTGTTCTCTGAGAATATCACCCATCTGTGAACAGTTTTGCACATAGTAGGCTAAATAAACTGCTAACTGGTTTGCTCTACTCTCACCAGTGTTTTGGTTGAAACGTAGCACTGTTACTGAAAGCATCTTACTGCCCCTGGGGAAAAATAACAGCTAAAAGCAGGTTTTGGCTCAGTTCTGTTACTTATGGTGCTTTGATGAACCTGCCAGCTGATGAAACCAATAAACCACTTTATATTTTTATTGAGACTTTTTGTCTTTTTTAATCTTAATTTTTTCATCCCAAAAGCGACCGAGGACATCTTAGTGATTGAAGTGTATTCAGCAGGAGGGAAAACAAATCCAGTCTTCTGGACAGAGTGCTTCACTTTGTTTTATTAAGAACTAAAAACCAGAACATTTCTCTGTGGTTGCTYTAGTTTCCATGTTGGAATCAGCAGAACAGAGGCTCCAGTTTCAGATCAAGCTGTTGTAAACTTTTTCTTTTGCAGACAAATTAAAAATTAAAACAAGTTTGCTTAAAAAAGCACTAYAATATTGTGTTTGATGACTTCTTTGTAGCCGGATTATTAAACAGAGTGAGSAAAAATATATTTTTTACAAGCAAAAGTGTCATCCTCAAAAAATATTCAAGAGTCATTTACATTTTTTTTTACTTCTTCCTTTTTTCCTTCCTGTAGCAAACATTTTGATCTACTTTAAATAAATTCTAAGTTGAGAAACATGATTCTGATCAAAAATKACATAATCTTATCTAAATAACTTGGAAAAAAAGGATGATTGACTCATTTGCTCTGCCCCCATGTGGCCAAATACTGTGTTGTAAAATGTTTCCCTAAATGCAAATCAGCCTTTGAATTCAACAGAAATGTGTAGGAGCTAAAAGCTCKAACTTAATATTGGCTGACAAGAACAGAAATAAAAGCTAACCTTCACAATGTCAGGTAAAAGAAAACTTGTCAAACTAAAGCAAATTAAAAACTGAAGCAAGAGAAGCTTTTTGTTTTAAACTTGAAATGTACACATCCTCCAACAGTGTCCTGTCTCCGCCTCCAGCTGCATCAGTTTCCAGAGCATTACATCACTAATGCAAACTGTARCAGTGGTAATCCTGCCCTTCCTGTATGATGCAGGCAAACAGAAGCTTTGTGTGGTTCTGATAAGACGCTGGAGCGAGACTCTGGTTGGTTTACAAAGCTGCTTCATCAGCCAATTCCTGCGAAAGAAATGTCGACCAAAACACCGAAACACGTTCAGACGCACTGCAGGCGTGACCCTGTCTGCTTTGGTGCACATTAAAAATGCTTCTGAGCTGAAATGGTTACAACTGAATTATTTGAACATTATAAAAAATGCAAATTGTATAATTCAAAAATAAGTTTTTTTTTCCTTTTTCAAGTTTTGTAATGGATTTTAATGTAAATACA